GAAAAAACTCTTTAATTATACTAATCCTAATACAGTAGATAAAGAACTGTACCTTAATATTTCTAAGAGATCCAGAAATTCATTCTTGTCAAATAACCTATTTATAAATAAAGAGTTAAGTTAATAAGGTACATATTCTATAAATTCACTCTCTCTTAGTTATCATTCACTGTGCATGTACCCCACATTTGATTATGTCTTTATTATAATAGTAGATGATGGTTCGCTATTTTCTAAGATATCTTCGCTACTTGAGAAATGACATTTATATCCAAGATTAACCTGCCACTAGGGATGTAAATAGGTCAGGCTAGGCCGAGCTTTGGCCTTCTTGGCTTTAGCCTACGTAAAAAAATATTCAGCCTATCTGGCCTACTAAAGGCTTTATTTATAAGCCAAGTCTGACCTATTTTAAAAAATTAGAGAGTCTTATATGGCCTACAGGCCTTGTAGGCCTCCCTAGTGATATTTTTTTTAATATTTTTAAAATTTTTTAAAATATTCACTTGACATTACAAATCATTAACGCGTTCATAAATTGCTGCATTTTTTTACACGAGATATAAATTTCACTAATGAGCATTAAAATTTTTATAATAGTATAAAAAATAACTATAAAAATAGAGAGAGGTTATACTTACTACTTCCTTTTTTTACTATTTCTTACTACCAAATCTTAACTGTTGATTTCTGTCAATCTAACGGTTATAATTTATTGAAAAATAATAATTAATTAATAAGTATGACCCAATAAATTACAACCGTTAGATTGATGGAAATCAACAATTAAAATTTAGTAGTAAGAGATAATAAGAAAAAGAGGTAGTAACTATAACCTTCCCCGTAAAAATATACTGAGCAAAGTTCCATTCATGCATGCACTAGTACTTCTCATAATTCATAAAAAATGACAAACAAAAAAGAGTCAAAATAATATCCCGGCTCTATAATGTATATCAAAGAGGAATAAAGTCAAAAAATGGGGAAAATAAGAAAAATATAATCACTAGGTCAACCAAAACTGAAATAAAGTCTACAAGAGAATGTCATTAATTGAAATATCTTTAAACCACCATCAAGATAAGGGAAAAGAAAGTATTATTGAAAGATGCTTCATCATTAACATCATAATCCAACAAGGTACCCATTGCACCTAAAATAAATATATTATTTTATTTTATTTTTAAAAAATTAAATAGGCCAGCCTACAAGGCTTTAGGCCAGACTTGACAAAATTGGCTAATGGCCTACTTGTTAAAAATGCTTTATTATAAGCCTAAGCCTACTCTACTTTTTCAACATAGGCTGGGCTAGGCCAGACTCAACGTAAGCCGGACTGAAGGCTAGGCCAGGTTGGACATCTCATCCTGCCACTCATCCTGGACATCTCTGTCTATTTAAAACTAAAATACATACGATTTCAAAATAAAAAAATTGGGGGAGACTCGAATATAGAGTATTACGTTCTACCTGTAATCCCAGTTGTAACTTATAGGTGGTGTTTGGTTAGGGAGAAATTTTTTGAATACTAGGGAAATGTAATAGATAGGAAAATGGTTGGAAAGTGAGTTTGGTAGGAAAATATAAAAGAAGCTGTTTGGTTCGGCAAAAGTTTACCGGGGAAATTGGGTTAAATTTTATGAGTGTATGTTTGGTTGAAGATAGAATTTTGATGGGAAAATTGTTTGAAATTACAAAACTATCCTTATTTAAAAAACCTGTTGTTTTATTACAAAATACGAACCACAATAAATAATGTGCCTCTTTCTTCCGTTGGTGGCTGTCGTCTTTGATTGTTTCCGTCGTTGTCTCCATCTATCCACGTATTAGCATGAAAACAAAATCAGATTCCATGGACTTTGCCCATGATGTTAGTACATAAAGAGATACATCTAAACTCATGAATAGAAACCAGAACAAAAAAATTACACACACTTCAAACGGTGGAGGGACCATAAAATAAAAGTCAGCACACACAAAACCAAAAACAATTATAAGGCTGCATAAGATCAACACTAAACCCAGGAACTGCCCGAAAGTTGGGGAAGGAAAATCGAAACCCAGGAACTGCCCGAAAATGGAGGAGGGGTATATTTGTCACCCCATTATCCACCTTTTTCAGATATCAGATTTCCTCACACAATTCCACCCGTTGAAACGTAATCTCCAACAATGCTAAATTCTGATTTTTACACTTCCTCTTGCATTGCAGGGCAAGTGGGATTGATGGCAAACTTTAACAAAAATTCCCAACCAAACGTTGATAACTCACATTCCCACCATCACTTAGCCAGGAAAGTTTTTCCTTCTCCCCAACCAAACACAACCATAAGGATTAGACTGGCCTTAACAATTTTCCAGTCAAACATACTCTGATACGCTTGTTTCGGTCACTAACCAACCGGTTGATGCAGATCTCACTTTATAATTTTTTTAATCGCGTAGTTCTTTTTCCTTTTTTAATCTTAATTACATTCCATCCTTAATCTCAAAGTTATTTTTAGTTTTTGCTTAAATTAATCATATATATCATACTTATAATTTTATTTTAAATTTAAAAATACTCATACAGAACTATTTATGTATTACTCTTTTATTTTTTGTCCTCTTGTTTTATATTCTTAGGGGAGTATATTGGATTAGAATTTTAAAAGATTTTTTTTGAGATAGAAAATCTTATAGAATTTAAAAAACTATTTAGAATTGGAGAGACTTTTAAGATTTTTTTAAAAGACTTTTTTTATAATCAAGATTTCATAAGATTGGATTTTAAAAGATTTTAATAGAATTTATAAAATTTGAAAGAACAATATGGATTTATAAAATTTTATATGTATTTTTAACAAACATTCAAAATTACAAGAGTTAATAAAAAAACATAACAAAGAAATACAATGATATTAATAAAAAAAGTAAAACCTAAAATAATTTTCTCAATTAGTAAAACATAATATAATTTTAACAAATATTCAAAAATTTTAAACAACAGCTCTCCACATATCTAAAGTTATACTAGTCTCCACTAGAGCTGGCAAAATGGGCCGAGCCCGCCGGGCCGGCCCGCCCCGCCCCGCCAAACGGGGCGGGGCGGGCTGAGTTTTCTAAACCCGCTGCCCGCCAAGCCCACCTCGCCAAGCCCGGGCTGATTTTTTTTTTTTTAATTTTTAGTGTAAAATGTGACGGGCTTGGCGGGCAGCCCGCCCCGCCCGCCCAAACGGGGCGGGGCGGGCAGAGATATCTAGCCCACCTTCAATGGCGGGGCGGGGCGGGCCAGCCCGCTTTTTAGCGGGCTTTTGGCGGGCAGGGGCTGGCAGCCCGCTTTGCCACCTCTAGTCTCCACGTATTAGCATTTCCTCAGTCCTGCTCTTGGGTTTGACCAAGTGGTAGAAAATTATCTTTTTCATTTAGTATCAGAGCTATGCATATATGATTATAAAACTCAATTTTTTATTTATTAAAATAATTTTAAATTTGCATATAGAACTTAAAGTTCATAATAAAATTTCGTTTGGAATTTTTTGCAATTGATCTTGGAAATCTTCAAACTTTTGTTCTATGTGATGATAGTTTTCTAACCATATATTATATGCATATTTTCATTGAGTATTCTAAGAAAATTTTGAATATGAATTTTTGGATTTTATTTCATGAAAGTTCATAAAATTTCTTAAATTATTTTCAATCGATACATTAAAACCTTAAATTGCTTTGGAGCTTTTGAAAAACAAGTTTTTAGTTATCTATTGACACAAAAATTGATTGAAATCGTTTCCTAAAGCGAAGGAATTTCTTTCATGAATGTATTGTTACGAAATATATGGTTCATATTATGAAAGTTTCAATCCTTCTTTAAATTAATATTGTTTCATGGGGCAGGATATTCTTACACCAGTGTAAGAGTTAGAAGTCTTACACTCAATCTTGACCATTGATCCACTTGTATCCAATGGCTCACATTACGAAAAAATTAGAGCCTTAGATATAAGTGAGATCAACGGATAAGATTAAGAGTGTAACTTACACTGGTGTAAAATGATCCTGACCCTTGTTTCATTGATATAAAATGAAAATTGGTTTGAGGATTTTAGTTCCTCGGATATTTTTCCACTGTTTTATGTTGTTTTTAATATAAAAATCACACATTTTTGTGTCAAGAAAAATCGCGACTCATAGATTCAATAATCATTTTTTAAACTTTCAAAAGCTCCCAAAATTTGCTAAAAAGTATGCTATTTTTGAGATGGATTATATTAGAATCTTGTTGGTTTGTTATTTTTGAATTGTTTTGCGATGAAAATCGCTCAAAAATCTACTATTTTTGAGCTTCGACGAAGCTCTTATGGCGGAACTCGATTTCGAGCCGGTCAACCCGCCAAAGGAAGAAAAAAAAATGTTGGTTTGTTATTTTTGAATTGTTTTGTGATGAAAATCGCTAAAAAATCTACTATTTTTGAGTTTCGACAAAGCTCTTACAGCGGAACTCGATTTCGAGCCGGTCAACCTTTCAAAGGAAGACGAAAAAGATGTTGGTTTGTTATTTTTGAATTATTTTTTGATGAAAATTGCTCAAAAATAGTAGATACTATTTTTGAGCTTCGACGAAATTCTTATGACGGAACTCGGTTTCGAGCCGGTCAAATTGCCAAAGGAAGAAGAAAAGGACACTGTAATAGATAAATCTCAAAAAATTTAGGGATTATAGTGAGATGGTGAGAGATGCTCCATAATCTATTAAAATCATTTCAAATCACAGTTGAATCCAACTCCTTATTATATTGACAGTGTCCCCTATAAAGACAATAAACTTTTAGGTTGATTATGCTATTTTATACTATTCACAGTAGACTTCAGTTGCGATTTGTGAATACGATGTCAACAAGTCGTGATTATTTACGCAAAGAGATCTAGGAGAATAAGAAACCTTGATTGTGTTGTTCACAATATCACGTGACAACCAAGAATCTCGAAACCCCCTAAAATCCAACAACCATAATATACACAGAATTCACCGCTGTGTCATGCCATCTCTATAATTACAACCTTGGTCGATCAAAATTCGAGCACTTAGTTGATAACATCGTTATCAACTTGCAGTAAAGAAACTTCCTTATAATCTTTTTCACTTGGCTTTCTTTATCTGCATCCCTTTTTCTTCTCTTGCTGTCGCCACACCACACCCTCTTTATTCACTTTGCCAAAGCTCTAATCTTTCCTCTCCAATCCCTGTTAATCCGTCCTTTTTTTTTTTATTTTCTCGATCTGGGTGTTTCGTTTTTCGAGATTTGAATCTTTTTTTTTCTTGGATTTTTTATTCTTAAAAAGATCTGATTTTTGTGCTCTGTTTTGTTTCGAATCCCTTCTTAAAACCACCTTCTTGTGCTGTTTCTTGATCTGGGTCTGAAGGAAATAGCTGTTTTTTTTCGATTATGAGGAAAAGGGAGAGGGAAAATCCTTGTGGGGTGTGTGGCCACTATCACAAATACGAAGAAGGGGAAGTGTGTTCGATTTGCGGCCACCGGATTCCGGTTGGATCGGAGAAAGCTTCGATACAAGTTAGCGCTTTCCCTTCGGTGATTTTGCCGGAATTTCTTTACCTTGGCAGCTACGATAATGCATCACGCTCGGAGCTTCTCAAGACTCAGGGAATTTCCCGCATCCTCAATGTAAGTAGGGGTCTTGTTGATTTCTCAAATCTGTGATTGAATTGATGTTTTTTTTTTCTTTTTCTTTTATTCCTTGTGTGGTCTGGCATCAACTTGAATGTTGAATGTTTCAATGATCGCCTCTGAATGATGACGTATGTTTTTAATATTTACAGTCATAATTATGGGTATGCTTTCGGTGAAATATTTAATGGTTGATAGTTAATAAATTCTGAAAATATAATTTGGTTGGCCTTATGAGCGGTTAAGGTTTGTTTGGTTATTGGGGAAACACATGAAATTGAACTTGTAACTTCATTGCTGGTTATACTGATTGTTTGGCGGCAAGGAATTAGTTCTAATAAGGCATATAGGGAAGTGGCTAAAAGTAAAAAATGATATCTGAAGTGTTTTCACATAGTGTGCTTTGCACTCTAATTAATAGCTCCTTTAAGTTAGAGAAACTCGAAGTAGTAGTACCTAGGGCAAATGGATGGTTCCTCATTCTTTTCTTGTTGAATGTTTATTTTCTTATACTTTAGATTTTCTGCCTGTGCAGACTGTCCCTTCTTGTCAAAATCTCTACAAGAATTCATTTACCTATCACTGCCTCCCAGATGACAAAACTTTACCATTTGATGAAGCAATTCAGTTTTTAGGTATGTTCCTTTTTTAAAAAAAATTCTGTTTTGATCATTTCATTTGATAAAGTACTTTTTGAACTTGTAGTTAGTTTACATTTTATAGATACCTATCAAACATGATACTAACACATGCTATTGGTTAATAATATATTTCAGTTGTATACTTTTATTCAGCCAGGTATACATTCTAAAGTATTCAATTTAAGATTGATTTATAGTTGTCTTAGTCTCAAGTATTTGATATCATCAGCTATCTATTTTTTTTTTAAGCTCCTCCTGTATGGCATTCAATTAAATAATTGTGGTTTCAACTAGGAAGCCTATGATTTAAAAGAAGGGGTACATGATCTGCTTTGTGCACTTTGCCTTTCATAGTGTTTGTTATGTATGAAAATGTGGGTTTCTTTCTCTTTCTTCTAAAAGAAGAGGTACATGATATATTGGGCTTTTTCACCCTTTTGCCCCTCATTAATTATTTAATAACCATTTTTCCCCTTATTGCAAACTATTTACCAATCTGCCCCTCTTTAATCGATTAAATGGTCAAATGAAGATTTAATCGATTAAATCTTCCTCTTTATCAGAAGAACAACCTTATGCATGGGAGATTTAATCGATTAAATAGGGAGATTTAATCGACTAAATCTTCAAGTCAACGATTTTTGCCTATTTTGACCATTTAATCGATTAAAGAGGGACATATTGGTAGATAGTTCTGAATAAGGGGCAAAATGGTTATTAAATAATTAATGAGGGGCAAAAGGGTGAAAAAGCCGGATATATTGCATGCACTTTTCTTTCATAGTGATTGTTGTTGTTGCTCTTCTAAAAGAATGGGCACATTTTCTTTCAATTGTTTGCTATGCTTTATATACTTTTACTTTCATAGTGTTTGATTATTCTTCTTTTTCCAAAAGCCTTTCTCTATGAACCATCTTTCAATTCGAATACTGATATAAGTAAACTGAAAAGAAAAAGAAAAGCCACTGTAAAATCACATTGGACGTGGGATACTCATTCTTGTCCATCTCTAAAACTTCTTTCTCTATCTCCTTATTCAAAAAAATTTCTCTTCTAAAATTTTTCTCACTTCCTCAGCAATAGGAAATCATGAAGCACCTGCTTAAAGTCAATATTGAAGGGAGCTGCTTCGGAAATTTGATTATTTGAGAGAATCCCCACCACCAACTAGTTTATCATAGTGGTTCTTTTATTTTTCTCATTATGACCTTCCTTATCCATGACATCAGGTCTTCAACTTCTCCTTGACATATTTAGGCTTCTTTCAGAGCTTGAAACTTTCCCAGTAGTTCATAATCAATATGGTATTAGAGTGGTACTATCTTCATAGTCTTTTTGTCTCTTTTTTTCCTTTTCTCTACCTAAATCCGTATAATTTAATCACGGTATCAACTATCAAAGTGGTACCATCTTCTGTGACCTATCCCCTCATTATTCAGCTGCAAAGTTTCCTAAACTTCGGTACTCTTGTTTGGTATATTCTGTCACCTTACCTTAATTTGCCACAGTCTTTTGTCTTCTTGTTGGCCATGACAAATTCCAGTCTTCCTTTTCTCTTTGGTTCGTCTTTGTTAATGGATTTCTCTATCGGCCTCTGCCACCATCTTCCCTGGAATCCCTAGATCAGTTTGTCACCTCTGTCATGTGTCCTGCTGTCACACTTTCTCTTCCAGCTGCTTTTAATCTCGGATCTACTGATTTGAGGTGCATTTCACTTCACCGCTTTTCCCCACCTCAGATTTTTCTGCCCGCTTCGGCAAGTCTTCTTCTGCCCTTATCCAGCCAGTTCGCATGCCTACAAGTGTAGATTTGGATAAATATTACTGAATTGGTGTAGATTTGAAAGTTTTGACCTTGTGATATGGCCCACAAATGTGGGGACACTTGCTGAAAGGATGGGGACTCGCTACTCCATCATGCAATTTCTAAAATAAATAAATAAATAAAGGTGCTGTCATGTTGGAACTCGCTGTTCCATGTAGTTAGTCTCTTGCCAATGTAAAAAATGCTTCTCTCAAGGCAAAGTTATCAAATGTGGATTGTGGCCTATCGCGGCCAACCCTGAAAAATGCTATAACGCTATGGCGTGTTGCGGTTGCAGAAATAGTGGAATAGATCAATAGAACCTAGATATACCATACATATAAATGCTCAAAAATAAAAACATTCATTCATAACGAAAAATTGTTCCAAAACAAACAGGAATTCCAAATAGTCAATTAAAAGGATCTAAATATTGTCAATATTCCAAAATAAAAGCTTGGTCAGCCTGAAATCCTAAACCCATTACCCATATTATTCTGTTTCTATCAATAAAAAAATAAAAAGCAGAAGCATCAACAAGGAACAAAACAATTCTTCAATACAATTAACACAACAAATTATTAAAAAAACAATGACACCCAAAAAAATACAAAGATAGAATCCGAGAGAGACGCAGAGAGCTTAAAAGGTAAATAATAAAAGAGTACAAAGATAAATAATAAAAGCAGAGGCTAGAGAGCTTACTTGCGAACGTGAGAAAGAGAGTGGTAGAGAGCAAGCAAGAGCGAGAGAGGCAATGCCACGCGAGAGACTGAGAGCGAGAAAGGAAGAGACGTGTGCGACACAAAAAGAGAGTGGATTAGGGTTAAACTTGCAAAAGACTAAAAAACCCTTAAAATATTTTTGTTAGACATTTAAAATGAGGACAAAATTGATATTTTGCCTTGTGACACTGTTGTGGTGCGATTTGGTGCGACATAGATTGTTGCGGCGAGGCACTGCAATGTGCAACTGGCGCGGCTCGCAGTGCTATTGCGTTGCAATTGACTACCATGTCTTAAAGAGGATGCAGAAGTGCATGATCACATCAAGAATCTAATAAAGCCCTTCAAGCAAACCCCAAAAAAGAATTAAAAACAAATTTACCGTGCCACAGTCACGAAGATGGTTGAACCGACACCACAAGCCATAGCTGCAATAACCCGTCCTTAAATAGTGGATACAATCAGCCTCATCAGCTGCAGAGGGTGTGATTCGCAACCACCCAATCCCAGTTGCCACGGGGACTGCATTCTTGTCCATGTCTTTGTCCCAAATGCAGTTTGACCTTGCTGTCACCAATCTGAGACTCTCTTGCCCCTTCTCCATTCCTAGATGTTGTTGCCTGTCATTGTATTATATTTTTAATTTATTTTCTTTTAGTGTTTTTTATTGTAACAATAGTAATACAAGTTGGAGATCAGAGTAAATAAAGATTGTTTTTGGGTTTCCCTTGCCACAAAATGAGAGAGAGAGAGAGAACGGCTCCTTTACGCTGGTGATCAATACACAAAACAGAGTAAGAGAGATTGAAGGATGCTCGAGATCGAAACAGAATCTGCAAGATGAGGTTGTGCCGCAGTCAAAGAGGTAGCTTTGTCATAGACTTGCTGGAAAATGGGTGAGAGAGAGAACGAATCATAGGCGGCGCTGTAGATTGATATTTTGGAGTGAAGTTGTAAACAAGGGAGGGTTCAGAAAGACAAGGGGTAAAAGTCTTTTCTACCCTTAAAATTAAAATATTGGACATAATACCCTTAATATTAAAAAATTTCTTTTCCTCCATCAATAGCGCTCTGCGGCCAAGTGCCGCTGCCTGCTGCGGATGCGGTGTTGCGCCGTTTTTTTCATCTATGATTAGAATCAAGAGTCTGGTGTAAGTATAAATAGGGGTTAGCATTTTGTGTTTGGGGAAAGACCATTCAATTTTTTTTAAAAAAAAAAACTAATTACCAAAAAAATATAAATAGTAAACTAATTATCATTCTGGGACTGTTTAGCACACGTGGGCTTGCTATATGTGCAAGATGCTATTCCACATGGCGCCTTCAATATAACATAAAATTGTTGTATGTATTAGCATCTTCAACATACACTAGCCACATGACACACTTTTCTCTGCTCTCCTGATAATTAAATTGTTCTTGTAAATCATAACGCACATTAACCAACACAAAATACTGATTAATTGTGAGAGTTAATTAATTGCCTCAAATGTCGTTATTAACTCACCATTAATGCGCCAAATTGTACTTTCATTACTTTTACTACTGATTCAGTTCTTTTTGTGCTTAGTTAAGTGCCAAAAAAAGCACAAGCAGAAATGGAATAGGAAAAGGTGCGAATTTTGCACCCAAATTTCGTCTCTCTTCCTAAACCACCCGAAATTCGCTAGTCATGTGGGATGACCAATTTTTTTTTGTGTGCGTGGCGCTGTCTCAGAGGAACAAGGAGCCAAACAGCCACTGTGAGGCAACAAACCAAGGCAGCGATGGTTGAGTGTGGCTGGATTCTTGTCGAAGAAGTCTGCAAAGACCTCCGTAAAGACGGCTTCTGAAAAAGTGTTCAGAAGATGTATCGTCATGCATGACATCACCCACCCCCCCCAAAACAAACAAAACCCACCCACCAGAGCACCATCACTAATTATGGAGGGGTTGATTTTGGGTTTGGGGGAAAAAGAGGGAGGGAGGGGGGCGGGGGATGATACACACAAATCTGTAGATCTGCGATGACCAGCTGTGGCGGTTGAAAAGAATTAGGGTATCTGTTGCAATTGAAAAGTGGTAAATGTTAGGAGAAAAAATTATGAAAAACCCCAATAATTAAAGTACATAGAAAAGGAAATAAAGGAATTATTCTATTTCTATACATAGTTTTACAAATTCGTCATGTTAAAAGTATGTTTTAGGTTATCTTTAATAATCGATCTTGTTAGAATATATTAGATGTGATTAGATATGATTAGATGTGATTAAATATGATTAGATTTGATTAGATATGATTAGATTACTTCCTATCCGTAAATATTCTGATTGTATTAGGTCTGGGCCTTTCACTTAAGCCCATTAGGGTCTCTATATATTGTAACTCTTTGAATTAGATTAATACACAACATATTATTTTATATTCAAGTTGGTATCAGAGCTCTTTGTTCTAGGAATTTTTCGCTTCCGCTAAAACCCTAAGCCCACTGCTTAGGCGTTCTCTCCTTCCTCTAACGCCGTGCGTCCCTCCGGCTTAGTTCTACACTGTTCACGATGTTTTCCAAAAAAAAAAAAATACTGTTCATCTCGTCCGTACACTTTATTGTTCACCGTCTGTACATGCTGCACTATTCACCGTCCGTACGATTTCACTGTTCATCGTGTCCGTACCGTTACTGTTCACTGTCCGTACAGGCACTGTTCACCCCGTCCGTACAGGTACTGTTCACGAAAAAAAAAAATTTCTTTTGTTTCAGATTTGGTCATCTCCTATATAATATTATGGCAGCAAATGATTCTGATCATTCAGAGGTCAATTCTCAACCTCCTCCTGTCAAAAATTCTCCCAATATCATCTCTACCAATGTTGGGTCCATTACCTCTTCAAAATTGAAGGGTTCTGTTAATTACAAGAATTGGGCCACCTCTCTTGCTGCGAATATAGCTCAGCAGTCAGACAATGCATCATTTGGTTCAGTTTCTCTCTCACTTGTGGACTATGCTGCACTCCAAGCTCTTCTCAAGAAGGCTTCTCCTCAGTCTCAGTCCTCCGCTCCATATACTGGTAATCCCGTTGCTTGTGTTTCTCAATCTACATCACTTGACACTTGGATATTTGACTCAGGTGCTACCGATCATCTCTGTGGTAATAAGGAACTCTTTACATCTCTTACATATTCTGATCATTTACCTTCATTTACCCTTGCTGATGGAACCAAAGCTCCAGTTCGTGGGATTGGACAAGCTCGTCCGACCTCTACCTTGGCCTTGACATCTGTTTATTACATTCCCGGCATCCCTTATAACTTAATTTTTATTAGTAAATTGATCCACTCCCTCACTTGCACCATTAACCATTCTGTTTCTGTGCAGGATCCGGGTACGGGGAAGATGATTGGAGTGGGTCGTGAGTCACGGGGGTTGTACTATCTAGAGGTGCCTCGTCCTTCGGTGGCATGCTTTCTCACAGAATCTCCACAACTTATCCACAGTCGCCTCGGTCATCCAAGTGTTTCAAAGTTGCAGAAGATGGTTCCTCTTTTATCCGGTCTTCAGTCTTTAGATTGTGTGTCATGTCAACAAGGGAAGTATACACGCTCCTCTTTTGCCAGTCGAGTCAATAAACGAGTTGATGCCCCTTTCTCTCTTGTTTATTCAGATATCTGGGGTCCAAGTCGTACCTTGTCTGTTTTAGGTTTTCGGTATTTCGTTACCTTTATTGATGATTTCTCCCGTTGCACTTGGATTTATTTAATGAAAAACCGCTATGAGTTGTTTTCTATTTATCAAAAAATTTCTGTTGAAATTCATACTCAATTTGGTGCCTCTATACATATTTTATGTAGTGATAATGCTAAGGAATATGTTTCTGTGGACTTTTCTAATTTCTTAGCCAAACAGGATACTTTACGCCAAACTACTTGTCCTCACACTCCACAACAAAATGGAGTAGCTGAACGTAAGAATAGACATCTCATTGAGACTGCACGGACTCTTCTTATTCACATGCATGTTCCTCTTCACTTTTGGGCCGATGCAGTCCTTGCCTCTTGTTTTCTCATCAACCGTATGCTCTCATCTGTGCTTAATAATGACATTCCTTATAACTTATTGCTTCCAGATGTTCCTCTCTATCCTCTATCCCCACATGTCTTTGGTTGTACCTGTTTTGTTCATGATCTCACCCCTGGTAAGGACAAGTTAACATCTAAAGCCTTTAAATGTATTTTTCTTGGTTATTCTCGTCTTCAAAAGGGTTATCGTTGTTATTCTCCCGATCTTAAGCGTTACTTAGTTTCCGCTGATGTCACTTTTCTTGATCAACAACCCTTTAATTCTATTCCATATCCGTTGTCACAGGTTGATCATGTTCTTCCTGTCCCTTTTCTTGACTTGTCTTTGCCAGCTGCAGGTGCTTCTATTCCAGATGAGGAACCTATTGCTTCTATTCCAGATGAGCAACCTATTGCTTCTATACCTGCGGACCGTCCACTTCTCACCTATCAACGTCGTAAAATTGTGCCTCCTGTCGACTCGACTCTTGCTGACTCATCGCCCACTGCTGTTGATTCTTCCTCTCTGGATCCTTCACCAGAGGCTCTTCCCATTGCTCAAAGAAAAGGTACACGTACTACTCGTAATCCTTATCCTCTTTATACCTTTTTGAGCTATGACCGTCTTTCTTCACCTCATTTCACCTTTGTTTCTAGTCTTTCTTCTGTTTCTATTCCTAAGACCACAGGTGAAGCACTTTCCCATCCAGGGTGGCGCCAAGCGATGCTTGATGAGATGACTGCACTTCATTCCAATGGCACTTGGAACCTTGTTTCTGCTCCTCCAGAGAAGTCTATAGTTGGTTGTCGCTGGGTGTTTACTGTGAAAGTTGGACCTGATGGCCATGTTGATCGACTCAAGGCACGCCTAGTTGTAAAGGGTTTTACTCAAATCTTCGGCCTTGATTATAGCGATACATTCTCTCCGGTCGCTAAGATGGCGTCAGTTCGCCTATCTCTTGCTCTTTCTGCTGTTCGTCATTGGTCACTCCTTCAATTTGAAATCTAAAATGCCTTTCTTCATGGTGATTTACAAGAAGAAATCTACATGGAGCAACCACCTGGTTTTGTTGCTTAGGGGGAGTCTGGGAAGGTGTGTCGTCTTCGAAAATCCTTATATGGTCTCAAGCAGTCTCCTCGAGCATGGTTCAGGCGCTTCAGTTCAGCTGTTCAGGCGTTTGGCTTAATTCGCAGTAAAGCTGACCGTTCTGTATTTTATAGGATTACATCTCCTGACAAGTGCATCTATTTGTTAGTTTATGTTGACGACATCATTCTCACCGGAAGTGATCAAGACGGAATTCGTCAGTTAAAACAACATTTATTCAGTGCATTTCAAACAAAGGACCTTGGGAAGCTGCGTTACTTCTTCGGAATTGAGGTGGCGCAATCTAGACAGAGCATTTCTATTTGTCAAAGGAAGTATGCCTTGGATATCTTAGAAGAAACTGGTATGTTGGGGAGTAAACCAGTTGATACACCCATGGATCCTAATGTCAAGTTATTGCCCGGACAGGGGGAGCCGTTGTCTGATCCTGGACGTTATCGGAGGCTAATTGGGAAGCTCAATTATCTTACTGTGACTAGGCCAGATATTTCTTTTGCTGTTAGTACGGCTAGTCAGTTCCTTGATTCCCCTTGTGATTCACATTGGGATGCTGCTGTGAGGATCCTCCGATACATCAAAGGAGCACCAGGAAAAGGTTTGTTGTATTCGGATCAGGGAAATACAGAAATTTGTGGTTATTCAGATGCTGATTGGGCAGGATCACCCTTGGACAGGCGCTCTACTTCCGGTTATTGTGTCTTCTTTGGAGGAAACTTAATTTCGTGGAAGAGCAAGAAACAACCTGTTGTTGCTCGATCTAGTGCAGAAGCTGAGTATCGTGCAATGACAAATACTACCTGTGAGTTAATCTGGTTAAAGTAGTTGATTCAGGAGCTTCATCTTTGTGAACAGAAACAACTCATGACACTCATCTGTGATAATCAAGTTGCGCTACATATAGAGATTGATTGTCACTTCATTCGAGAAAAGATTCAGTCAGGAGAAATCAAGACAACATTCATCAACTCTTCTGATCAGCTAGCGGATGTCTTCACTAAAGCTCTTAGAGGTCCTCGGGTTGAATACATTTGTAACAAGCTTGGTGCTCACAATATATACGCACCAGCTTGAGGGGGAGTGTTAGAATATATTAGATGTGATTAGATATGATTAGATGTGATTAGATTTGATTAGATATGATTAGATTACTTCCTATCCGTAAATATTCTGATTGTATTAGGTCTGGGCCTTTCACTTAAGCCCATTAGGGTCTCTATATATTGTAACTCTCTGAATTAGATCAATACACAACATATTATTTTATATTCAAGTGATCTGAATCTTATGATTCAGTGTATGTTTGATTCAGGATTTGGACAATAGGCCTTCCAATTCATGATTTGATAACAGCGTATCTGGTTACAATTGCTGTTCTATCTTAAATCTCCATTCAATGTCTATGCCTTAATGAATTTGTGATAACATTGGTAATTTTCCTTGGTATTTCACCGAAGTCCCTGATATGCTTTTTACCTGTTCTCACCTAATATGCCCCATTTTCTTTTCTTCATTATTGTTAGTAGTGGATGGAGAGATATGTTTACACCTTAAGATTGTGGGCTTGTATTGTAAAAGTTGATGTAGGTCCAGCAACTTATCATTAGATACTTGATCTTAAACTAAAGTCCTTAATTTATACGGCTTCATTTGAACTAACTTTCTGTCTAAATCTCTTCCTCATTTGGTTTAGTTTAAATGGCTGTCACCTATTATCCCATTCCCTGTTTCAGTTGTGAGTTTTATATTTTAATTTGCTTATATCTGTCTCCCAGAATATAATCAGCCCAACATTAACACAATATTAAATATAAGTAGCTGACTTCCCGCACTATTATTTCCTGTATTGAGTTATAACATTTGACTTGGCTAACTTAAACTTAAAACTTAGGTAGATTCATTGTTTTACTATTGATATTGCTATTTTCCCCCCTATTTTTTTTTCTATTTAACCTTTATAATGAAACCAAAACTGTGTGCTTGTTTTGCAGAACAATGTGAGAAGGATAAGGCACGTGTTCTGGTTCATTGCATGTCAGGAAAGAATAGGTAAGGTATTGCTGTTACGTGCTATAAACAATGCAGTGATATCTTGCAATGATTAGTTTGAATTTGTTAATGATTGCTCAAACAAAATAAAAGAGAATTATTATAAGGGTTTTTGTACTACTGACCTAGAAATGGGGAGCTGTAACAACATGGAATGTTATAATTTTCTCTGAATCACATATATCCTCTGGCAGGTCTCCAGCTATTGTGATTGCGTTCTTGATGAAGTCGAAAGGATGGAGACTCGAACAGAGTTATCAGTGGGTGAAGGAACAGAGACCTTCTGTTGAATTAACTGAAGGTGTGTTTGTTTTCTGTTTCCAGTTTTGCTTCCCATCTCAAGTAAAGTCATCATATTTCAGTTAGTCAATGGAAGAATTTTATCTGGCCAGGTTATTCATTTGAATGATAGTTAAGGAATTTACCAACTGGAAACTTAATCAAATTAGTCAACTCCGAGTTATACTTAAAAGTTGCTTTCAAAAATTCAGAGCGTCAGAAATGCCAAATTGGTCAAACAACAGGAGAATGGACTGTTTTCAGTTGTTTTAGTGATGAATTATTAAAAGATCATGTAATTTGGATAGTTGGTTTGACTTATTGAATTCAGGATGCTTTTATGGGGCTGTAAACACCGTATGTTTTATTTTTGTGTATGTTATCATAGCAGACACCAAATTCACTTGCATGTTTCTTCTTGAAGAGTTGAAGTCAATTTTTGTTTCTTTTGTTTTTAAATTTCTGTAAGCCTATTGTCAAGGAGGTATATTACTCCGTGACTGTCTCTGTAGAATGTTTTTACATTTCTTAGAATAGAAGGTTTATTGGTAGTAAACACGCACTCCTGTTAGAATTGTTGCCAAATTACTTATTTCCTGTTCATGTACGTTTTTTCTATTTCAAGTATGATGATGAGGGGGAATAATTTCAGGGTTTGGTTGCTTTTCACTGGATTTATTACCATGTTTCTGAGATGCATCCTTCTTTTCTTAATGTAGGTGTCTACCAGCAACTACAGGAGTACGAGCACAAGATTTATGGATTTATTGATGGGGGTAGCTCTGTGCTGCCTGGTTTCCCATCATCTGCAGGGCCTCCTTCAATTAGCTTTGGCTTCCCAAAGATCGATATCAATGATTCAGCTCAACTTCTTGGCTTCAACAGTGCTGGAACTCCTTCTATATTCACCCGGGCACCCCTAGACATAGCTCCCACGGAGTTTACATTCGGAGCAGGTCAGACACAGAAGAGTGTGAGTGGAAGCCCATATAATCCAAATCCACCTAATCCAAATGGTTCTGATATCCAAATGGATGGTTCTTGATTATGTGATTAAGCTGTTGACGATTTGGCTTGTGGTCAAGTTTACAAGTACCAGTCTGCCATGTGTCAACTATACAAAGTTCTTTTTTCTCCTGTTTATTTGAAATATTTTCCTAGTTATCTCTTGTTGTAGTATTGAGTTACAGCATATTTCCTGGCCTCATGTGCCTCAGTAGATCTGCACTTGACATTATCCAGATTTTAATATTAGAAGCAAAATTCTATCTATCAAGTATACAAGATTAGACAATCTGTTGTGGAATTCGCCTATTCTCTGTTGCCTAATTATCTTTCAACACCCGACTATGAATATATACATTTTAAGGGTCATTTTGACATGGGGGGGGGGGGGTAAGTAGAGGGGTGACAAATTTATGCTCCTATTTTTAAAATTCAACTCTTCACCTGTACTTTTTCCCATGCCGAAGTTCCCATAAGATGCATATTGTTGGATGACGAAATGTGTGTTTTTTTTCTTCTGTTTTTTGTTTTTTCATTTTATGTTAGCATTTCTGAAAGTACTTTGACTGAAAAACCATTCTGATTTTTATAAAAGTATATAAAAAAAAAAACAACAATGTTGATTTGCACACATAGACGTGCAAATGCCCAGTGGAACAGTACTTCAAATATAAAAAGAAAATGTTGACTATCCTGCCAATGCCAAATCTATGATAACTCTCTTCTTGAGTATATCATTAATGTTTAGCTCGCCCCTACTTTTTGAGTCAGAGGATCCAGATCTTGCCCCATCAGTTATTTGTCCATGTTTCAACCTTTGAAAGCAACCACAGAATCTCAATGCCATAACTTGTGAGAACCCGCAATATGTTAATAACCCCACAATCGAACATTGTGCTTCTCAGGATTGACACGAAAGTCAGCAATTTTATTTTATTTTTAATTTTAAAGGCGTTATTATAAGGGACATCTTACATGATGTCACTTGAATATCCTGCATGCTCTCATCATTTTTTCTAGACTTTTTTAAAAGCTGAAATTGAGGAAAGAACATATTTCCTCATAAAATGTAAAAAATAGCAAACAGGATACTAACACCACCGCTTTAGGTGAAGGACACCGCTTTGATTACCTGGAATGAAGCAACGAGCGTGACAAATACTCACGTTCAGTTCTCCTCCTCAAGCCTCACGATCTGCAGCAACGCACCACGAACGGTCGTAATTCCGATCTACGGTTGATCTTCCAGGCTATGACTCAAGGGGGATCAGGTGGTCGTGTGGGCAACCGTTCAGATGATGAACGTCTGCCTCTTTGTGTTTCTGATGTCTGTAATCCTAGGAGGCACTAGAGAGAAAAAAGAGTTTATATACTCTGCCCAATCCAAGACTAACCCTAAGCTTCATGGGTTGAAATTAGTCTTTTGGGCTCACTCTCACTAAAGCTATTGGGCTTAAGTGAAAAGAGCATATTAAACCCAACAATCTCCCACTTGCTCTTTTGGACACAAACTTGAGTTCATAAACCCAAGACTATGTAGCCCATAAGCCATCATCATCTGATTATACAACCCATCCCTTGTCTCGAGCTAGCATGGGGATCTACCATTTGTCACTCATCAAGGCTCCTGATAATCTTTGAAAGATTATCTAATTCGGCGCTACTCCACTAAAAGCTCGAACGTGAACTCCAAGATTAATGACCTTTATAACATGAATATGCATCGCCCCTTTGTAGAATGTCTATAATTGATTGACAAGTTTTCTGTAACTCAATCAATTATTTATTCGCTTGACTATGATAGTTTCTCTAATGGATTACATGCACTGGCCAGTGTCTTTATTATCCAAGTACCGAAACATATCAAGGGGACATATCCTACAAATTTCATGTTGTTTATCTCATAAATACCGACAATCAAATAATCTCACTCCCAAAATACCGAGTTATTGGTCGTCAATAGATCGAACCTCACCCGTTGGTAAATCAAAGAATGAAAACTATTTGATTATCTATTTATAATAAACTCAGGATTAAGAGCAATCACATAATTATAGTTAACTGGAGATTTGATACCTTATGACAGAAAAACAACCTTAATCAAATCTCTCCTTGATCCTTTCAATGTGAATGTTAATTCACACCAATATTTTACAATAATTCGGACAAAATCATTTCATAAAATATTGCAGCCTGAATAACGTGCCCAACTTTATTTAACGGCTGTGACTCCATTCATCAATTGTGAGAACCTATGATCATGTCCTCCATGAACGTATCCATATGATCATATACTCCACAATTTGATCCGGACCTTTATGTTTGTAAATAGTGCGCAAAATAAATAAATAAAACCTTATTTATGAAATTCAGAAAATTATTTTATTGTTTCATCGTCTTACTCCAAGAGCACAATGAAACCAATAACTCCCACTTGCTTAATGCAAGTCTGGGATCCTCTTAAGACCCAAAGAAGTAACATGCCTCTCGAACACAAGTTCAGGCAAACTCTTAGTAACTGGGTCTGCAAGATCCACCTCTAATGCTATCTGAGTTTAGTGAAAAACTCATAGCTCGAGGTTGATTTTCTTGAGTCAATATCCACTTGAAATAACTGAATTTTTGAAAACTCAGCTTTTCAAGACTCCCACTAGAATATACCAGCATATAATCTCTCGTTCTCCAAAGATACTTGAGTACATGCTTAACAATAATCTAGTATTCCTCTAGGTTCAAAATGGTACTATCTCACTACTCCCACTGCGCGACAGATGTCTGGTTTAACGCCCAACATGATATGCGTGAGTCTACCTTTGCCAAAGCGTAAGATATCTTGCTCATGCATTCTTCCTTCTTAGAAGTCTTTGGTCACTCCTTAGGAAGATGAATTCCACATATGAGAATTATAATTCTTCTCTTAGAATTCTCATGTTGAATTTTGGCAAGAGTTTTGTCAATGTAAGTAGCCTGAGGTGATGCGAACAACTTATTCTTCCGGCCTCATAAGAGTTTTATACCAAGAATATAATTGGCTTCCCCAGTACTTCCATACCAAAACACTAACTTAGCCAACTCTTTATGCTTGATATTATCTCCACATTGTTTCTAATAAGGAGCATATCATCTACATAAAATACCAGAAAAGCTACTGTCTTCCGTTGTATCCTTTACATACAAATACACATCATTCATCAAGGTTCTCTCAAAATCAAAATTTTGATAACCTGATCAAAACTGGATGCTTGCTTAAGTCTATGAAATAGACTTTCACAACTTGCATACCGTGTGTTCCTACTCATTTGCTATAAACCCTTTTTGGTTGTTCTATGTAGATATCCTGACATCCAACTCCCAAAATGAAATCTCATAATTGAGACCTATAGCAACTAAGAGAATCTGGATAGACTCAAGCATGGCGTCTGGCAAAAATTGCCTCCAAGCTAGCTTTGAAGGTTTTCACCTTTCTGTCCATCCTCTTTTTGCCTTTTATGTCCACATGCACCTTGTGGGTTTTACCCCTCTTGGTGTCTTTACTAGGACCGAGCGGAGTTGAAATACAAGTATTTCATCTCATTGTTCATAGCCTGAGCAACACTTGATCAACAACATCTTCTAGTGCATTATCGTAACTAGTAGGATCAATATCACTCAACAAGAGACAACTTGAGAGTTAACAAGGTTCTCTCCCAGTACGAATGTACTGCACTAGACCTTGTGTATTTATAGGTAAAACAAAGAGTGGGTCAAATGATGGATCTTCAATTTCTTGAGGATCCGCTTATCCTTGATATTGTTCCTTTACATGTGATACTAATATTTCTACTAGTTTCACTTATATATTATCATGTTGAATTTCCAATCATGGTTCTCTTGTTTGTTCACTTAGAGATATATCTATCCCCTCTTGAACAATCAAGGGAACAGTAGATGAAGCTTCTAGAGATTCTGGAAATTCTTGAGCTGAGATAAATCTCATCAAGAATAACCTAACTTAAGAGCTTATAATTTCTTATCTAGTCCTCCTTTAAGAAAATCATGTGAGTGCTCACTTAGATTATCTTGTCCTTAAGACTAAATAAGAAATTATCCCTAGTTCTCTTAGGGTAGCCAAAAGATATGCACTCTTCCATACAAGATTCCATCTTATTTGACTGTTGTTGTAGGACGTGTGCCGTAGCACCCTAAATCCGAATATGGTTTGATCTGGGCTTGCACCCCTTCCATAATTCTTTAGGTGTCTTTACAACAAACTTTGACGGAACCAAGTTAAGAAGGTAGATTTCCTTCTCTTAGGCATCTCCCTTGAACAACATTGGCAAAGATGAATAACTGAACATAATCTTCACCAAGTCTAGAAATGTTTGATTTTTGCATACTGCAACTTCATTCAACTAACGCGTTCTTAGAGTTGACAGTTACGAAAACTATCCCCTCTTAAATCAGGTAAGACCTGAAATTACCAGACAGGTAGCCAAACACTTTAGTAGACCAAAGTGTTTTGATTTGAACACCTACATGCTTTTCTGCCTCAGACTAAACCTCTTGGAAATTTCCAAAAACTTTATACTTATGGCGCACTTGGTTCATCTGTCCAAATCCAAAGTAAACATTCATATAATGAAGTACTCATCACCTCTTCTGGTCTGAACACTAATTGGTCCACATACATTAGTATGTACCAGTTCCAGTTGAATAGTTGCGCAAACCTTTTTGGCCCTTGTAGGATTGCTTGGCCACTTTATCGTCCAAATAGGAATAACATGTAGCTGTTAGTTAAGAGATTCTTGAACTTTCAGTCCCTCTTTTCACTAAAACATGTTTCATACTTGAGATAATGTGACTCAATCACAAAGGCCAAAGTTATGTTTCATTTGAAACTTTTATTTCTTTGGTGAAAATCCTTGTTCATCATCCTTTCCATTCAACATAACAAATTTAAAAAGGGTATAGGACATAGGAAATAAAGATTATTTAAACAATGTACCAGAACAAAACAAGACGAAGATGAACTTCGAAATGTAACTGAGGAATCAATTGCATTGTCAAACCATGTTTTAACCAAAACAACTAACAAAAATTGAATTCCTCTTGAAATCCGGAACAAATAAACAGTCATCCAAAATCATAGTCTTATAAATAACTTGTCCTACTGCAAATGCAGACACAAGTTCCCATTTTCAAGCTTAAAATATCTATGTCCATTGCTGACAGGTATGCCATGTTTGAACTACTACAAAGAGTAACAAACATAATCAGTGATTC